GGCTACAGTGTGAGTTAAGTCCAGCCTGAACTACATAGCAAGACCTTGTCTCAAAAAAATGTATATGTAATATAAAAGGGGCAATAAATAATGTTCACAGTGTGGTGGACTAGACTGTGGTGCCCATTCTAGTGGATGTTGTTCTTTAATGGAGCCACTTCATACTGTGGATGTCCACATGGTCACTGCTGTCACTGAGTAGGCAGAAGACCTCACCAATTCATGATGGATGACGTTACTATGGCCCAAAACATCCCCTCCTACTTTTTTGGAACTTTGAGTAATGTTTGAGGAAATGGAGGGTAGATGGGTTTTTTTTTTAAGGTAAAGCTATCTGGCCACTAGTATTTCTTATGTAATACACACTAGAGTGGTCAAAGGGACAATACTTTAAGGGCTCAAATAATTTTGTGACATAGGGACAACTTATAGTGCAGTACTTATGCATGTGGAGATAAGACTACACAGTTTAAATCCTGGCTGTTCTACAACTCTGTTTTAATTCTTCTGTCTGTAATAAGGAGATAGTAATAACATCTACCTTGAAAGGTTGTTAAGATTTACAGACTTATGCATTTAGGTGCTTAGAACAGCGGACAAATAGTAAGTAGCAACAGATATCTGGAGGTCAGTGTACATCATAGTGCCTGGCCCATGATAAAGATCTAAATGTCCATTTGTGACTTTTTGTTGTTTTAATTAATTAATTAAATTTTGGGTGTTGGGGATTGAACCTAGGGCTTCAGCCCTGCTTCTCACGCACTCCCTCATTGAGCTACACATTCATCCTCACTTTTGGTAATGTTACTTTCTAAAATTTAGAACTTCATGGGAGGCAAGGACAGAAACTATTGATTATTAAGTACCCATTACATGTGAGATACTTCCTATACATTGTATTTAATCATGAAGATACCTAGGTAAGAGAGGGCATTGTTCTTCCTATTTTGCAGACAAAGCTGGGATTCAAAGAACTTAAGCAAGGACCCGAGTTCATGTAGTTAGAATTTTGACTTATCTTTTGAATCCAAAGCTCACTCTTCCCAGGATGAGGATGCCAGCATTTCTCAAATAAGGTTTCATAGACCTTGGGAAGGAACCCAAAGATACCTTCTCGGGATCCATCAATCCTACTTAGAAGTTTTGATACATCCTTTGAATGATAATCTTTAGGTAGACATGTTCTGGATCTTTTGGAAGGGCATTTTAGGAGAACACGTAAGGAAATTTGAATTTTATTTTGTGTTTATGGTAGTGCAGTTATCACTACTATCTTAATTGGTCCTGACCAATCGGAAAAGAGCCAATCGGAAAAGAACTTCATAATACATTCATGCTAGGGGAAAGCAAAATTGTGCCATCAGATTTAAACAGAAAAAGATGGGGAGCAATCCCTTTTCATTTTGTACCTGGTAGTATATACACTGGACTCATAAGCTGTGAACCTCAAACATCGTGTTACATTTGTTTAGAAAAGGTTCTTTTTTTCAGGTACACCTTAATTGTTACATTAAATTAATGTTATTACTATGTTAAAATCTTGGTTCTATAGTAGTGTTTTTATTTAAAATTTTTTTTTTTGGCCAGGGTTTTAGCACAGCGGCATAAGTGTCTGCTCGGCAAACGTGAGGTCATGAGTTCAATTCCCAGTACCCAAGAAATAAATAAATAAATTTAGTTTTTTAATTACAGGAAAGCTTTATAATTGCACAAGAGATTTATACCTGGCTTTTGCTTATACATGAAGTAACAGTTAATTTAAAAGTCAGCATTAAGTGTAAAGAGTATTTCCCTTAAGAGCTGGGCATGGTAGTGTACTCCTGTAATCCCAGCACTCAGGAGGCTGAAGCAAGAGACTAGCCTGGACTATAAAGTAAGCTCAAGCCCAGCCTGAACTGTGTAGTGAGATCCTGTCTCAAAAAAAGATCAAAATAACAAAAACACAAAAAAACAGTTTTTCCCTTAAAAGAAGTGCATACCTTATTTACACTCTTTCTCTAGACACAGAAAAGGACAATTACAAACACAAGAAAACAAAAAAACCCTTCATAGCCACATTACAGACATGACTGACTTTTGAGCCAAACTCCACAAACACTTAATCTAACAATGATAGAGGATGATTTAACTATGGGATGCATCTGGAGAGAAACTAAAGGCAGGCAGATTCATGGTCTAGTTGTGTCAGTCCTGTCCAGGACCACTGCTGATGAAAGGGAAAATACCAGCTATGCAGAGCAACTTTGAAGCACAAAGCACTTGGTACCCCTCGAGTGTCCTATAGAACTTGCAAAAGGTAAGGCTTTCTTTTAGGATGTAAGTAGCAAGCCTCTAACAAATACCTGTAGCTTAGGAACCGTGTTAAAGATTAAGAAAGTAGTTTATGGTAGAAAGACAGTTTGGGGCTCAGTGAAACAAAATCTCTCAACTTCCATGTCCTGGGAACAAGTAGAGCCTTAATGTACCGTCCAAATTGCTAGGCCCACAAAGTTCTACATTGTGGATTTGAGGAAATTGGCTCAGAGCCACTCAGATTGGGTGAAAGACATTTTTATGGACACAGTACTGAGTTCTCAGAGCCAACAACCACATCACAGATGTGCCTTACCTTTGGATAGAATCCAAAGCTTTTAATTAAGAATAAAGTCAGCTACTTCCTGATTGGCACAGAATACCTTACAGACTCACATCAAGATAGCCATTTAAGATACATTAAGAAAGTGGAACAGCTTTCTACCTTAAAAACCAAAATATATTCTTGCAAGTACCATACTGGCAAGGGCCCCTTCCATATCCCGTCCTCCAGCTTGCAGCGATTGCCGGGACCACCTGTGTCCTTCCCTGAACTGCTGTGTTCGCTGCAGAACTTGGGTTACTTAGGGCTAGCCACAGGGCACCTGGCCACATACACACTTGAATGGAAGTTTGCTAAGGAAAGCGGTGGCACTGCCCTCACATTTCCTCGGCCGTTCTCAGATCTATTCACATGCATTTTACCTTAACATTATTTTTAAATGGCAGGAGGTTGGGGGCTTCTCAGATGTCATTATCCTTGTCCCACACTTATTAAGAAAAGCCCCAAGACTGAACCAGAGTGCTTCTAGTGGGTCTCTCAGCTCTTTGCTGTCACCAGCTGTCCCCTTCACACCCTCCCGCATCTTGCCGCTCACTCTCTCTGCCTTGGTTCCTCAGGAGGTTTGGCTGAGGGTAAGGCAGAGCTTTCCTTGTTGCTTCTGCCTCCCCATCTGTGTTTCCCTCGCTTCCTTTTCTGCAAGAGTCTTACTGTAAGGACAGCTAGAAATAGATCAGAAACTTCAGTCGACACCTTTTTCAAAGCTTTGCATGTAATAGATTTAGGTGGAGTTAGGTGCCAAAACTAGGAGAGACGCTAGAGTGCTAAGGCTAGTGATGGCCAAATTCTTAGAGACCGAGTGCCCAAACTGCAACCCCAACTCACTTGTTTATCACAAAGGGCCAACACTGCAGTTAAGCCAAAACACTAAGGTTTTAGTTGAGAAAAAAAAAAAAAAAACTCATACATTAATATCTTGTATCTTAAAAGAAAACAACATGTGTGCCATGGGCTCACCACTACTGGATAAGAGCTTTGAGAAATAGAAAAGTCCTCAAATTTCAATGGTGAATAGCTTAGAAGAATGTCACAGAAATATAAAGATAACAAACTCTGCGTTTATTTTGATAAGATACATGAAAATTAAGATCATCATCTCTCCATGTTTACTTTAACCCAATGATCGATGTTCCTAAGCAAAATGCTACAGTAGGAACCAGGCAGCTAATGTGACACAGCAGACAGCAGAGGAGAGGGACAGAGGCTGGTCTGCTTCCATCAGTTTTTGCTGAGCTTTGTGCCAGATCTGTTGTTGTGTTTTGTTTGCACTACAAAGGATGGGTCCCATCCCAGAGCCTCACTGATGCTAAATTGCTTCTGAACCACATCCCAAATGCCTGGATCTGATTTTTTAAAATGAGAAACTCTAAATTCATTTTGTATGTATGTATATATGAGGATGTACATGTATAATCTGTTATTTTGTTTGTTTCTGTCTGTTTTATGCGACAAGCTCTTACTCTGTAATTCAGGCTAGACTTAAACTCACTGTGTAGCCCAGGCTGGCCTCAGACTCACAGTGATTCTCTTGCTTCAGCCTCCCATGTGCTGAAATTACGGTGTGCAGCACCAAACTCAGCTGAAATTGGTGTTTTAGTGTTGACTTATCTTTTGGAAAGGCAGACCAAATACAATGATTAGCTCAATCAAATACAATGATTCTGCTCCAGACTCAAGAGAATCTGTTCAGGGTTAGGCTTAAAAAAAATGAAAAAGAAGCACCAAGTAAGTGTTATGTTTGTATATATTTAGTGTTTCTTAAATACGGTAGTAGAGCTATAGTAGAATAGGTTCCTTGTAGTCGAAAGGGAGTTAGTTACAGTCTTCACTTGTATATGAGAAACTCATAGGCAAAATTCTCCTTGATAATCATTTGCATGGTTTTCTTCATCTTGTTTCTTTTTCTTAAATTCGGACTGAAGTTTCAGTTTTCAGTTATCTGCAAGGCTAATTTTGCTCAGGAAATCTATAGCTTACCTAACCCCAACACCATGGGTCCAGTCGGACCATCTTTTCCTCCAGGATTGCACACACCTTTGTTCAGCCAGTTCAGCAGGTAGACAGATTAATAATAGTCTTTACTCCATCCTCTCTGTGGGCATTTTCTAAGCTATTGTAGTTAGAAAATGAAACAGTTCAAAGTCGCACCTATGTGGAATGACTTCATCCATCAGGTGCCATGTTACTAATACTCCAGCTTAAATGAGGTTCCTTTCTCAGATTTCTCAGAAATGTACAATTTAAACCTAGACCACTCTCTTGCAGATATCCTAGCTGAAGATAGAGATTCCTACTCACATCTTCCAACCCTTATTTGGGAGGCACCTCCTTCCCACTACAGACCCAAGTAGCCGTTCACCCCACTCACCTTCCGAGATCTGAAGAGCCACACAGACAGCCAAGGCCACAAGAGCAAATCTCATCTGCTGCATTACTGCCTGTGTCACTGACTGTGACAGCACTGGTGAGGCTGTGAGATCAGGAAATAAAACTGAAGAATATCGTTAGGTGCAAAGGAAAGAGCCAGAAGTAAACCAGGTAGCCCCGCCCTGGGAGGTGCTCACGGGATCAATTTCTCCTATTTCTTTCCTTAAGAATGGGTTACTGACTAAGGCTCCCAACTGGGTGCGTGTTTACATTGCCTGAGGATCTGGGAATGGACTTCAGAAGCCACCTGGCACTTGACAAGGTCCTTGTGATTGGATGTCTGTATCAGAATTACTTGGAACCATTACAATCTGCAAGAGCCACCCTCCCCTCCATGCACACACACACCTATCAACCAGCATTGTGGTGTAGGGAACCAGTCGTGTGACCTTTGTAAAAGCTCAGTAAATGATTCTTATGGACACTTCTGTTAAGAACCATTGTCTAAAAGGAATCAGTTTTCAGTGGTTTGAAACCATGCGTTTCTGGGGACAAGGGTGACAAGTCATAAAAAATTATCTCTTTGGAAATACAAAGAAAACTTCTGTCTTTCTTGTCTTGGTTTGCAGCCAGATTTATTTCCAGTGAAGCTTTTAGCTTAAAGGAGAAACAAGCAGAGGGCAGTGCCTTGCAGAAAAGGGCCCCAGGGCAGCCACAAGGAGCAGGGGGTTCCAGGCCATCTTTGCTGCTAATGGGCTTCACAAGTAAAAGTCAAGAAGGGGAAAATCATTGGGTTCTGATATTGCCTTTTCTACTAATTGATTGTATAACCTCAAAAAATGTACTTTATTTTCTGTAAATAATAATCAGGCTGATGACTTCCAAAGTCATAGGTGCTTCTTCTAGAACTGTATCATCCCGTGTAGTAGCCAGTTGTCCACATGTGGCTGTTGAGTACCTACAATGTGGCTAGTCCAAATTCAGATGTACTCATGGTGTAAAATACATACTGGACTTCAAAGGCCGAGTATGAAAAATAAAACATACCATCAATAATTTTTATATTGAGTTTGTGTCAAAATGGTAATATTTTAGATATACTGTGTTAAGTAAAATATTAAAATAATTTCACCTGGTTTCTTTCACATTTTAAATGCTGCAGTGTTTTAAATGCTGCAATGGTTTTGTCCTCTCCAAAACTCATGTTGAAAGTTAACCCTGGTCCCCAGTGTTGGGAGGCAGGAATTAGCATAAAGTGCGCCCTCATGGACAGAAAAATACCTACAACAGGATCTTCAGGAGTGGGCTGAGACCCCTGCTCTTTGGCCTCCCCAAAAGATGCAGGTTGGAGTCACTGTCTTGGAACCTAACTAAACATGTCTTCTTTCCATGCCCCGCCCCCAACTCTCACCGCTTTAGAATGTCAAGAATATGAACTGTTCCCAAGTGTCAAGTTAGTTAACCAAGATCCAGTCTCACCTTTAAGCTCTACAGTTAGACTTGTAATAAAATGGAGCATGAGAGCTTTGGAGAACTGGGAGTTACTGACAATGATGACCCTGCAATGAGAACTCAGTCCCCCAGAGCAGTTTCAGCTGCTTGCTCCAAGTCTTAGTAAACTAGCAGAGAGAACCTACAGTGATTGCCATCAAAGGTCTCTGGAATTATGTGTACTTGCCACAACCACAGCAGCCTTTCTCTGGATGTCAGTATACTCTCAAAGTGTCAGGAGGATGCACAAAAATGATAGTCTGAAATACTCATGAAGATTTGTGGAAATAACCCTTTCACTTTTAACACTCACCAACCTACCTGGCCCCTAAAATTCCCACCCTGAGTACCTCATGAGGCTGGCTTCCCTACAGGGGGAAAAAAAAATCTGTTTAGGGGGATTTCAAGTAGAGGGTTAGTCTGAGCCAAGACCTGTCTCGGAAATAAAAAGGGCTGAGCATGTAGCTCAATAAGCTTAATCCCCAGTACTGTGAAAAAATAACTGAACAACAACAAAAACCCACTGTTCAAATAGAGGATAACTTGTGTAAAAGGAGTAATTTTTAATTGAACAGGACAAACTGCAGACTTAATAGGGCACTAACAAGGCAGCTGGGCTTCATTTTGATGAGTTTAGGGTTAGGCTGTACTCAGTTGTGTACCTGTCATTTCTCTGTTAAGATGTCTCCTCATGTGTGTAGGTTCCTTCTGCTAGCAAATGTTACCAGGGCCCTGCCAAGGTGGCGGCACAGGAACAGAATCTAGACACTTTTATATCACAGGGACCTTCAGTTATAAGCATTTCCTCTTCTCTTCACACCCTTTCCTGAGGGTGTTGGAATAAGATGGTATGTTAGCAACAGTTCCTGGAAGACATTTGGTATAGCAGGTTGAACCCGGAACATTGAAGTACTCAATAACTGCCGTCACTGGATTCACAACCTTAGGAAGGATGTTGTCACTTTGGTGTTAAACAAACCTGTTGCTACCAGCAGGAACCTACAAACAAAACCCCTATGCCATGTTGTTTAAACCAAAACATGAATGGCAGGAGTATTGGGCAGATCAGTTTTGATTGAGGTTACAGAAAAACTGAATCATGCTATTTTTGTCTGGAAATATTATAATTAAAAGCTATGATTGTGTGTGTGTGTGTGTATAAACAGCTCATTGGGCAGACATAGATTAGCATTACTTAAGTAGGAGCCTCAGAGAGTGGCGTGTATTAGGTAGCTTTGCATTACTACAGCAAAATACCCGAGGCAGGGTGATGGTTTGTCTTATTCCAACACCCTCAGGAAAGGGTGTGAAGAGAAGAGGAAATGCTTATAACTGAAGGTCCCTGTGATATAAAAGTGTCTAGATTCTGTTCCTGTGCCGCCACATGTCCCCCCAAGAGCTTGATGCACTCATAGACAGGGCTTTTAGAAGAGGATTGGATCATGCAGGCATTATACTCATTGTAAATTGGTCCACTGGTGAGTTTACAGCTAAAAGTGCAGTTAGGAAGTGGGGGGTGGTTTGAGGAGGGTTGTGACCCAGAAGCTCTTCTTTTTTCTGCTTCCCAGCTGCTAAAATGTAGGAAGCTTCCTCTGAAGCAGCCCCTTGCACCATATCATTCTACCTTGGAGCTGGCCAACTATGGACTGAAACTTCTAAAAACCATTAATTGAAATAAACTTCTCCTCTTTTAAATTGTAGGGGCTCGTAGAGTGTCCCAGAAATGAAAACATGACTAAGACAGGCTTATAAAGAATTAAAAAGAGAAAAAATTATTTAGCCCACAGTTCTGGAAGCTCAAGGGCATAGCATTGCTACTCAGATCTCAGCTGTATCATGTCATGGTGGAAATCCCTGTGCGTGCGTGTGTGCGTGTGTGAGAGAGAGAGAGAGAGAGAGAGAGAGAGAGAGAGAGAGAGAGAGAGAGAGAGAGAGACCGGCATCCCATAATCTATGTTGAGGTCATAACCCAATAACCAAGGACGTCCAGCAAGGATCAACTGTACCTCTCAAACGTTCCACCACTTCCTGACAATGCCACCCTGCAGATCAAGACTTTAATCACTGTGGACTCTTGGGACACTCAGAGTACACCCAAACCATAGCAGGTGGAATCAGAAGAACTTGAGATACATGAATATTTTAAATTGGATTTTGTGCTTCTACAAAGCCCAATGAGAATAAGATTAAGAAATGCATGTCTTTAGGACCTAGGCCATAGTTGGAGGACAGAGACATAAAATGACAGTTAAAGTCTAAAGCTGTGTGGCTTTGTGTTTTCTGTTGTGAAATGTCCCTGGCTAAGAATACACAAATACAGTCTTTTAGAATCTTTTTGTCAGGAAAAACCAGTTTAAAGGAAGTAAAGTGACATGTGTGAGCCTGGAGGTATGAAATCAGTCAGGCACATAAAGACAAATACCACAAGTTACTTATGTTCTGTACCACAGAAAGGTACCATGGTTGACAATTGTATATTTCAAAATAGCTGGAGAAGATTTTGAGTGTTTCCAGCACAAAGAAATAATAAATAGTTGAGGCGATATATATGTTAATTATCCTGATTTTTGTATATAAGTAATGAAATATGTACCCCCAAAATACGTACATTTATATCAATTTAGGTATATACATATATTTCTCTTAATACAAATATATACCTTTTTTTTTTTTTTAAAAGAAAGCAAGAAGTAAAGTATAATCCACAGCCTCTCATAAAAATACCTGCTGCTATCTACTTCTGGTTAAAACGACCTACTTTGATTAGGAAGATGAAGATTTCTAAACAGTAGCTATCACAAAAGTAAGCCAATGAAACCTCCTTGGCTATTTGTCTAGAAAATTAGTACACATTTTGACTGTTTTGAAATTATGTCAATATTTAAATATCCTAGGATAACTGACAACAGTTGGTATTGAGAATAAAAACCTTTTAATCTGTGGGATATCTGACTTCTAATTTAAATGTAATCGTTTTGTTACAGTATGATAGAGCCAAACAAGGATCCCATATTAAAAATTAGACTCCAGCTGGACACAGTGGACATGCCTGCAATCCCAACACTCAGGAGGCTGAGGCAGGCATTCAAGGCCAGCCTGGACTACATAATGAGACCATTTTTTAAAAAAGCAATAAATAGAAATTAATTTTTAAAAATTTAAAAATAAATAAAAATTAGACTCCAAATACTTTTAGGCAGGCTGTTGTTTATGAATGAAACATAGTACATTGTTTTTTCCTTATTAAAAATTATACTGCATCCACTGTAGAAAATTTGAAACATGAAAAAAGTATGAAGAAGAAATTTTTAAATATCAGGTACAAATTTTTTATTTTGTTGGCATGTATTCCTGCAGTCTTCTTTCTGTGCACACCTGTTATTCATTGAACAAATGCTGATAAATGATGCACCATATGGAACAGACTTACTGTAGATTAAGGACAAATGTTGAGCAAAGGAGAAACAGGCCATGTCTGCAGGAAGACAGACATGTCAGCAAGCCATGGAAATAAATCTGGTTGATGCAGCGCAGGGCAGCCCAGTGCTCAGGTACTCTGCACAGGGGCATCTTACCGAGTCTGGGAGTGAACCAGCTCTAAACATCGATGTATAATTACCTGCTAGGCTTAGTATTTCATAACGCAGAGGTATTATACTTTATTGGACCTGCTCTTCTTTGTACTGAACATCAAGATTGTTTTTTACTTTTTACAAATAAATTATGCACCGAATCACAGATACAATTCAAACCACTATGCTTATCTTTAGAATCAAATTTGAAAAGCAGTATTATGAGTTATATAGAAATAATGATTTGAAAGCCTTTTGATAAATATTCAGGCTATTAAGATGAAAATTTTGCCTATTGTTTTCTTACAACATATTCCATGTTTTTCCAGCACTCTGTAATTGACTTTTTTTGTGTGTGTTTCTGAGGATTGAACCCAGGAGTGCTATATCACCAGCCCCTTTCCCTTTTTTAGAAAAAGTTATTTTGAGATGGAATCTTGATAAGCTGCCCATGCCAGCCTTGAATTTGTGGCCCTCTTGCCTCAGCCTTCCAAGCAACTGGGATTATAGGCATGTGCTACGTTGCCCCACTTACACTGATGGCTCTTACTACACCAGACATCACATTTTCTAAGATGGGTCTGTACAGCACAAGGCGAGGCTCTTCATTGTCAGAGACAGTATTAACCCTCTACCACATCAGGATTTAAGGACTTTCTATGGCAGGACCTTTAAAACTTTCAGTGTACCTGCCTTAGACAGGAAAAGGTACCCACTTTGGATGAGTACAGCTTTAGGACCAGCAATTTAACAAGCAAAGGTGCTTGCAAAAAACCAAAAGCCGCCTTTCTCTGTGATAAAAGTGTACTCACCCTTCTATTGGGGTGTACACTTCACAGCCAAATGCCAGCCTGCATTTCCTTAACAGGTAGTTTTGTGCAGTGCACAAACGGCACAACCATACATAACAACTAGTCTTTTT